CAGACTCCTGGCTGGGACCAAATGACCTGAATATCATCTGGTCTGTAGAGGACTTGTGAGAGCAGAGGGTCATCTAGTCCCCAACATGTGAAGTTTCTCACCCTTGCTAGACAGAAAGTGGATTGTCCAGTTTTATAGAGTATTTGCCCCATTTCTTTTTTTCATTTCATTTCATTTGCCCCAGTGAGTTTGGACCCAGATACAGCATGTTAAGCAAAATGTATAATCTCTAAATTGTGCCCCACACTTCTGTATGGAACGACAGAGCATTTAGCAAGATCCTTGTATGCTTTACTCCTTGAAGCCTAACGCTGGTGCTCTTTGTTTAGGAGAACATGGATGTTAAATAACCAGTTATATTCCTAAGAATACCATTTCTGCTTGGGATCTATATCATCTGTGTTTTTTTCAGACAACAAGTAGTGATCACAAGTATAATACTGCGAATGAGTAATATTATACCCCCCCCTTACCTCCATTTCTGACATTGCAAATATTAAGTCATCCTCTCCTTACACATGAGAGGGCAAAGCCAACAAACCACAACGTTTTATTGCTGGTGAATTCAAACAGGCAACTTTAATCTACTGAAGAGGATACAGATACAAGCAAATACTCCATTCAGGATCATGTGCGCTTTATTGTTAGGTGTTTTATACGCCGGTGCTTCCTCCACTGTACAGCATCTAGGCTATTACCGTCAGCAGTGTGTCTGTCACTGCTGTGTAGTGTAAGCAACCCAGCTGTAAAACAACATCAGTAGTTTTTTCATTTAACTGAGAGAAAGAGAAAATAAACATAAATGGAGTAAAAGAAGTGCATCTCTAGTTGCAACAGAATTGACTTTCTCCAAAACAAATAATGAGATAAGTAGGTCTGACATGTGCAGTAACTTGAAGAGAATGGAGAATGGTGCTAAAGAAAGTGCATGTGGTCACTGGTCAATGGGCTATCAGGTCAATGGGACAGGAGCAAGAGTTAATCTTTTAGACCCAGCTCAGTTCCTGGTGTGCAATCTATGAATAAAGTGCACTTGTGTGTGAAAACTATAAGCGCTTGAAGACATGTCTTCATAGTACAAACCAGATAAAATAGCATTAAGATTTAGGAAATGTTTTCATGCACTTATGGGAAAAGGTAACTAAGTTGTATGAGGTATTCAATATACACTAAAGGCTAACAAACACTGTTCAGTGTAAGCAAACAACTATTAACCAGCTATGAAATAACTGTGTCAATTAGGATGAGATGATAGACCCCCGAGGAGCATGGAACTGTGCAGGGCAAAAATGACTACCACCAAGTTGCAACCTTTCAGATTCAGCTACTTTGCCATTCTTTAAGCTTTGCATTACTCCTTTTGAAATGCCAGTTATCAATCCAGTGCTGCAGAGTAATAGCACAGAACAGAACTCACTGCCATGGGTACAACGCTATGAATGTTTAGACTTTTAAAAGTCTTCCAGGCAGCCATGCTGGCTGGTGAACTGTAGAACTTCTTCCGTCTAAACTTGCATTGATTGGATTGTACCCTAAACGTATTAGAAGTCCGTGATCACCAGCTGATGTGGGAGACTGTATCTATCTAGCTTTGGTAGCTTAATTATTATAGAGTTCACATGCAGCCCTACTGGTACTACTCCTTCCATCAGAGAATACTTGGAAGATTTTTTAAAAAGATGTTTTCTAAAATTTATGAAAAGCTACCCAATGTATTTTCAATTTGTCTTTACATTTTTTGGCTGGGGACTAAAGTTTACAACAATGAGACGGTAACAGAATAATTGCTTTCACAGTCTCCATTAAGTATTACCATTTCAGGCTGCAATTTTATACTCACTTTATATAACTTTAGAGGGGCAAAGTAACCTGGCAGTCATCTAGCCCATTTCCTTTTTCACTTCTGGAAAAAGACCCATTAAATTCAAACGGGCTTACTTCTGACTACAGATATGATAAGGTTTCACTATGGGAGAAATTAAGATCATGATTCCATTCCAAGAACTGCCCCCCATCTTGCTTTCAACTCCACTTGAGTGTTATTGTAGAGTCCGTGAGAAAGCATTCTTCAATGCATGGCACCATAATACACACAATACACCATTTTGATTTAGAAGTAATTTTTTTAAAGAGTCAAAAACCGATGAACTGTAACAAGAGCATACCAACCCCTGTGTGTTTGTTGAGGATTTCAGGTAGTCTATAACCATCAGGACTGATAGCCATGGGTAGCCTTCTGCTCCATGAATTTGTCCAAGCCCCTAAGTGTGGTCACACTATGGAGTTGTATAAAGGCAATACGATCCTGGCAGCTTCATTTTCAGTTCCTTCCCTAATTATGGCTAACATGAATTTTTCCTTTTTCACAGCAGCCACAGATCGGGTCAACATTTTATTGAGCTGTTCACCACAACTTCAAGATTTCTTTCTCAGTCAGACACTGCTAGCTCAGGTAACCATAGAACAGATGTGAAGCTGGGATGTTTTATACCAACATGCATTTCTTCATACTTGCTTACAATGAAGTGCATTTATAATTTTGATATCCATTCTCCTTGCTTGGAATTTTGGAATTCCTTAGAATCCCATTTTTGTTTTAATTGCCCTAAATAATTTGGTGTCACTAGCAAACTTGGCCACTTCACTGCTTACTCCTTATTCTGGATAATTTCTGAATAAGTTGAAGAGAACTAGTCTCAATAGAGAGTCGTGTGGGATCCACCATTTACATCCTTCCACTGGGAGTTTTATAATTTGTTTTTACTCTATTCTTTCTGTTATTGATTCTCTTCTCTTATTCCATCACTGCCAAGTTCACTCAGGAGTCTTTGGTGAGAGACTTTGTTAAGTGCTGTCTGGAAGTCCTAGTAAACAATGTCTACAGCCCACATATGGGCACCCTCAAAGAACTCTGAAGGGTTAGCAAGACAAGACTTCCTTTTGCAGAAGTCATGTTGATTCCTTTTCAGCTGGACTCATCCTTTTATATACTAATTTTTATTTTTCAAATACTTTACCTAAAACAGACATTACTGGCCTGTAATTTCCTGGACCCTTTTTAAAAAAATGATGTTACACTGGCCATTCTCCAGTCCTCTAGTACAGAGGCTGATCTTAGGTATGTATTACATTTTTATTTGCTTGTTTGTTAAGGGTATCAGAAATTGTGTATTTGAGTTCTTTAAGAACTCTAAGATAGATACCATTTGGACCCACTTTCAGTTAACGTATTAACTTTTGGCTTGTCATTTTTACTACTATTTGCTTCAGTTCTGCAGATAGAAAACATCTGCAGAATATTTCTCAAAATATCAGCTCAGGCACAGAAATCTCTCTTATACCTTCTGCAGTGAAGACAGATGAATATAATTCATTCAGCTATTCTACAATCTCCTTATATTTCTTTCATACTCCTTACACATCACATTGTTACCCAACGATCTAACTGCCTTCTTGCCTGGTTTCCTGCTCCTAATATATTTAAATGATTCTTTATTGTTGGTCTTGATGTTAGTGATATGCTCCTCAAAATTTATTTATTTATTGCATCTCTTACTATCTGCTTGCATCTCCTTTGTGCAAGTTTGTGCTCCCTTTTGTTGTCCTGATTTGGGCAAGATTTCCGTGTTCTGAAAGAACCCTGCTTTTCTCTATTAGCTTCCTTGACATTGCTCATTATCATGACCTCCTGGATTTGGTGCTACCTACCTTCCATAACCTGTGATATACATTCTAAATGAGCTTTTATTATTATGGTTTTGGGTAGCTTTTTGAGTAATTTTTATGGTTCTGACTAACCGTCCATTGCCAGCAATGGAATCACACCTGAGAGGAAATGAGGAGAAATAAAATAAGCAGACTCTCAAAAGTTTAGACGAGTCAATGATACATGTGTTATGCATAAGACTGTGTAGAACTCATTCAGGGTGGCAGGGCATCTTTGTTCCCCCACCAACACACACCCACACCCAAAATGGATCTCAATATAACAATAAACAGCCATGTGAACTGTGTGGCAAGTTGATAAATTGATCAACCATCTGCCAGTAATAATGCAGCCCCATCTTAAAGACAACACAGAAGAAGGGGCTGCACAACCCCATAAAGATATTCACATCACAAGCCCAACTCACTGCTAGTGCAATTCCATTCCATCCAGTGCAAATGATATCTGTCATTTTTCTGGTCTGGGATGCCTAGTTACCGCATACCTTCCTCTTTATGCTATCAGATGCTTGTCATTTTAAGCAGCCAGAAAGAGTTTTCATTCACAGAAGAAAAAAATAATTCTGATTGCTGCCAGATACCATGCTACTTTCTCATGACTATGCATCACAAGGATTCTGAAAGTCATACATCTCTTTGAGACTTCCACATTTATCTCAGGTTGTAGGACACTTACAGCCCTTGGTACACTGTTCACAACCCTAGATCCTGGAAACTGTTCAGTGCACCCTGCTATGAGGCAGCCAGATACCACTACCACTTCATCCTAAATAACCTTATGAAGAGTTTTCTGCACCACTAATACTGCTGTTGGTACACTGAGCACACCAGGCAGGACTTAAGAGAACATCAGTACGGATAGAAAAGAGCATAAGTATTGAACAATCCGTCATGCAGGTTTCCAGCCTCTGATGAATCAAGGTGACTTTAATGCCAGGGCCAACAGTCCACATTTATAGCCACTGGTATCACTGCTGATAGAGAATTCCCTTGGTGAGGAAGCCAGCGAGGATCCTGGTGATGAGAGATTACTAAGGAGCTGCAAAGATCAGACCTGAAGCAGCCCTTCTGTTGTGTTCCACTCCAAGGAGGAAGGACAGGTAGCAGGGAAGACTTGAGCCACTTCAGTCCCACTTTTGGCTGCTTGGCTAAAATGTGGCTTGCATAATAAGGATATCATTCATCCAACAGAACAGGCCTTTATCTGGAAGGGTGTATATGGGTGTGTGAGAGAGTGGGAAAACTAGCTCTCTAGTGAGCATTGGAATGAATGATTCAAAAAATAATCTTTTTAATATAAATCCAACAAGATGTCCAGCACCATATTATCATACACTCTGGTGCAATAAAAAAGTGTTAGGAAGAGCACACAAGAGGGCAAATTCTACCTCTCCATTTGACTGCCACTGTCAGGCTGTCTCAACAGCTGCTGATTGTTCCTTGATCCTGCAGCATCTCAGGTCCCATGGGAGGTATTGGTTGCAGGCAAGCACCAGAATATTGCCTAATGGAATATAAGCCAATCACTAAGTTAACTGGGGCATCTATGTCAATCTACTAACTTGATATTTGTACAATGTTGACTAGCATGTTCTCTTATTTCTCCCTGTATGCAGTAAAATGCAGGTAATAGGACTGGTTTCATAGTAAGTTAAAGTTACAAGTCAAACTATCCAGCCAACAGGTAACTGATATCGCTACCTGTGACTTAAACAAAAAAAAAAAAAGAGTAAGATCCATAGAAAACCTACTGATTCTGCTTTTTTCATGCACACCTCCAAACCCAGGAGGTTTGTTTATCATACAGGAAAGAGAAGTTTTGTTTTTGAGGCCGTCATCACAAGTCTCCATTGAAGGGGGCAGGAGAGTTCACTTAGCCAAGCTGTAGTTCTAAACCGATTCAGTTAGTTTTCACATGACCATTGGCCAAGGTTACAGCAGCAGTGGGAATCCCTGGTTCGGCATTCTCGTCAAAACGCAAACGCAGGGTGTTCCTGATAACTAGTTGTTCCATGATAAATGCTGCGCAGAACCATGGAATGGCATACTCCAGGGTTATGAGGCCCATGAAGTTCAAGTCAAACTGTGAATAGTCCCAAGGGCAGGCATTGAACTGGCGCAGGATGAAGCCAGTGGTGAACTCCCAGACATACGTCCATAGGGTATAAATGAGGCAGCGCACTAGGATGTTACACTTGTCCTTCAGGTACAGGTACATCTTTTCTACAATGAGGATGGAAGTTCCATAAATGAAGAGTGCCCATACACTGGTGACACCTGGGAACTTCCAGTTGAAATTGACCACAAATTCCCAAGCAGCTGTGAACATCACCTCGCAGAAGTAGCCATGAATGGCATAGAGGTACCAGCGGGAGAAAGCAGTCAAAGGTTCTGCAGCTGCCATCCTTCTGTACAGTCCCCAGCAGGAACTCTGTAGGGCAGGGAGAGGAAAAGAAGATCAAAGCCTCAGTAAAAAGGATAGCAGCACCAGGTATTGTCACACTGATGGTCAAATATGTACAGTTACAATGTAATTAATAACCAGAGTGGTACACATCTTAAAGGGACCTGCTCAATGACAAAATAGGAACTGGGGGTGCCTTTCTGTTTAACTGACAGTGTTTAGAAGATTTAGAGACAGTATAGTCTCCCATTTGACAGAATTCTCATTATTCACTCAGAATCAGAATACAGCATAATAAACTGTTGGCTCACACATGCTTGGGGGAAGTTTGTCCTCACAGCTGGAGAGGGGAGTAAATTTAATGAAACCTGAGACTTTTATGCATTAAACATGAGTAGGCTTCACTTCCATAATCTAGCCGTCCTTGTTTTGTCTTTTGCATATAAAATTTCCAGTTCTCATTGCATGCAGGCATGGGACTCCTGTTGCCTCTTTACACTTCACTTTGGCCCACCTGGGCTTGTGAACTAAAAATGGCTCAACTACAAGAACAGCTGAAAATAGGACATGTTTACACCTCTCCTAAAAAGTGATATGGGAAATTTACTTCATCACTGCTGCCAGGCAAGAGCAAGCCGAGGCAAGCTTAAGAAGGAGCCATACCATGCTCACTTAGGCAAGAGATTTGGGGTTCTCTAAATCTAAATAGAAAGCTTATGCAACATAGAAAACTGGAGGAGCAAAGAGGAGGATAAGATGCAACACAGCTGGAAAGAAAACATAGAAACATAGAAACAGAGCGAGTCAGAAGGGGCCTCCCGGGCCATCTAGTCTGACCTCCGGCACCAGCCGGCTCCGCTCACGACATGCCCACCATGTGCACGTCCAGCCTATCCTTGAACATCCGCACCGATGGGCCTCATCCACCTCCCAGGGAAGCCCATTCCACACCCTCGGGGTCCTGACTGTCAGGAAGTGCTTCCTGGCATCCAAATGGAACCTTGGCTACCTGAGCTTTGCTCCGTTGGAGCGCGTCCTGCCTTCCTCTGCAGGGGAGAACAGGTCTCTACCCATCTCCATGTGACATCCCCTCACATACCTGTATGTCGCCAACATATCCCCTCTGAGTCTCCTCCAGGCTGAAGAGACCCAGTTCCCTCAGTCTCGCCTCATAGGGCATCCCCTGCAAACCAGCCGCCAACCTTGTGGCCCTACGCTGCACTGACTCCAACCTGGCTATATCCTTTCTGTAATGAGGGGCCCAGAACTGAACACAATACTCCAATTACGGGTGAACATAAAGAAGGAAAAAGAATAATCTGGGGGAGAATTGACAAGTGACACAAGAGGTAATGAAGACATGTTTAAAAACTCAGGTCTGTTCAGATATTTTGTCGAACCCATCTGTTGAAGTGAATGAACCCCGTTTTTGCTCACACTTTCTTCAAATACTGATTTCCTTCCTTGAGTCTGGCTTAGCAACTGAGGCATAATTTTGTGCAAACTATTATTGTCTGGTGCAGATTTAATTAATAACTAGGGTGTACTGCTAAAGCAGAAGTGAAGACAATAGAATGTACCCAAGCACAGGGCTGTACAAGCAGAAAACAAAAGGGCTTATTTATGCAATGACAAACCATGGTGTTGTATAATGTCTGAACTGACCCAGTATCAGCCTTTTATGGAATGAGCGTCGGAAGCTGGAACAGATGACCCAAGAAGGGCAAAAATATTAAATGCCCTTTACAATGAACATGTAAAGCAGGGAGAAGCATAATCTTTTCAGTCCCAAGGACCAAGTTAAGTACCTGCTGGGCTGGTACGGACTACATGCATGCACACATACGTACACACAGATTCTCATACAACACTACATTCTCTCTCTGACTCTGTCTCTCTCTCTCTCACTCACACACACACACAGGTGTACCCCTGAGTACAAATAAAAACTATCTGATAAAATACCAGTGATGAATTGGTCTGGAAATTTATCACAGTTCCCAGTGTAAGAAGCAAAACCAAATATATATTAGTTTTAATTTGCCACAGCATTTTGCTGCCTCTTCATAACTATTCTGGACGGGAAGAATAAATATCAAATCCAAGGCTGAAGTCCCCCAACACATTCCCTAAACAAGGAGAAATGCTCTAGGAACAGGCTGTATGGCTCCTACCACAGAAATGTGTTCCTAGAGCATCCCTGGAATACCCTAGGAAGCCAAGAGGAATTTTCAAGCAGTTCTGTCTGGGATACTGCAGGCATGGTGCTTCCATGACAGAACCTTGCACTCACCTAGTGAGGCACAAATGATAGTACTAGCAGCTATTCCATTAGGTAGCAAGACATAGAGAGATGGGAAACAGGGCCTTGCGGTCATCTCTGATGAAGACCAGACACTTTAGGCATCCCCTTTCAGTGAACTGTTTCCACACCATCTAGTAAATATAAATACACTGTAATTTTAAGACTTCATGCCTGGATTTGCTGTTTAACTCACTACCCTTTCCCCCTTTTAGATTTTAGATGACAGGGAAGAAAGAACAGGGTAGGCATTCTTTTAAATTAATATGCATCTGTTGTAACAGTTCAGGATGAAGAACCATTTCAAGTCCCACAGAATGTTATGTACAGTTGATATTGCTACTGGGGTGTTTGAAGTTGGCAGAACCAGGGTGACTACTGCTCCATGCTAAACTGAATTAAGTGTTCACATGAAGACAGGTATTTCTCTCCATTGCAACATGTTCTTCCACAATAAAGCAAGAGCTGTTTTGTTATACCTATGGGGCATGCTTAGGTAAAAGGGGAGAGATTAGGATCAAATACCTACTTGATATTAACTGGTCCTCCATATGAGATGAAATCAGCTGACATCATGGCTTTTCCTGCTTTATAGTAATACAAAAATCACCCCTCATGGTGAAACATTTTTTCAGGCCAATATCCAACTCTAGACTTCCTGAATATGGTACATTATCAACTGCTCCCTAGGCAGATCTTAGTTAATTGGCCTCTTGAGGCTTGTGGGTTGTCACTGATGAGGTCACAACTACTCCATTGAGCTGGGAATAAATTAGGTAATCCTTAGGTTGCATATATTTCATCTTCATTCCCAGCTGCACCGAAGCACCTAGGTTTTCAGTAAATGTCATCTAGATATTATAGCACCATTATTCGCTAGAGACGAAACTCAAGATGTTATGTTCCCAATCACTATGTATGGGCGTGAAAGCTGGGCAGTGAAGAAAACTGACAAGAAAATTGATGCATTGGAAACATGTGGCTGGAGGAGAGCTTCATGGATGCCCTAGCCTGACAGAAAGATGAACAAGTCTGAGATCAAACCAAGCCAGAACTTTCCTTGGAAGCAAAAAAATCTGAGGCTGTTGTACTTCAGGCACATCACGAGAAGACAAGATTCACTGGAGAAGACAGTCAGGCTATGGACAGTCAAACAGAGAAGAGGAAGACAACATGTGAGATGGACTGAGGAAGCCACAGCCTTGAGTTTACAAAAGCTGAGCAGGGCTGTGGACCAGACATTTTGGAGGGCATTCATTCATAAGGTCACCATAAGTTGAAGATGACTTGATAGCACATAACACTAACTGTTTAGACACCGTAAAGTCCCTGTTGTTTCACCAGTAAATTTGTATTTTTGTGTTTATCATGCTGACATATGGACAATGCAGTATTTGAAAATGCCTGCATTCTGCTGGAAGTAATCTGTAAGTAACACATAATACAAATTGAATAGGGGCAATGGAGAAAGAACAGTACTAAGATCATGTGCCTGAATGGTGTAGCTAACATTCTGAAACTGGGTAATTTTTTAAAAATAGTTTGCAGGACATCTAGTGGTGCTCCTAGCACTTCACATAATTCTAGGTCTACTCTGTATAGCTTTGGCATTTCATTTAGTACTGTGTCACTAGTCATTTTGATTCAGATTGGCTTACTCCCAGCTAGCTGTGGAAAAAACAAATGAATTAAATCTGCTAATAGAACCATTCAATGCAATCTATCATAGCTACTCAGATGTAAGTCCACTGGTTTCAGTGGGACTTACTTCTAGGTTAATGCGAGTAGAATTGCAGCATAAATGTAGTTTTCTATTTCCTTCTTATACAGATGGAATTAGTATTTTTTCACACAATGCAGAATTGGCTCATGGAATCTGCTACCACAAGATATGGTGATGTCCACATGCTTAGGTGGCTTTTTTAAATGGTTAGACAAATTTGTGGAGGAAGTTAGTTCTATCACCAGCTATTAGCCATAATAATGAACTGGAGTCTCTGAAAACCAGATACTAGGAGCCTTCGTGTTCAGTCTGTGTGCTTTTAAGAAGGATTTGGCTGCCAACTTTCAGTAACAAGAAGTTTAGGTGGATGGTCCCTCCGTATGATCTAGCTGGGCTCTGATTACGTGTTACATATTTCTTCTTATTGTCAGCCTCATACTGTGTACCTTCCAACGTAGCCTCTCCTGGTGGTAAGACATTTAGCAAGACTTCTGAGTAAGAACATAAACTGTGAGCAGACTCTTATGGGAGAAGTTGACCTTCCCATAGTCTCACCACAGGCCATTTAGGGACTTGCAGATCAAAACCAGCATATTGAATTGATCTCAGAAACGAATGAGAAGCCAGGGTAGTTGGTTCAGGAACAATATTATGCATGCTATAAAGCACACTCTAGATGACATCTGGACTTTGTGTTTTGCACTAGTTGTAGTTTCCAAATAGTGCTTCAAGGACAGCCTAATGTACAGCACTTGAGAGTCAATTAAAGTATAGATCACTGTGGTCAGGTCTGCCTTCCCCGGCAAGGCTTGAAGCCGGCACACCAGCTAAAGCTGGCCAAAAGTGTTCCTGGACACAGCTGCACTCTGGCACTTAAGGAGCAAGCTGCAAAGCTGACTTTTCATAGGGAGAAAAATTCAGGAAAAGGTCTGCTCCCAATTCGCACATTTTCCATTTTGCTTGTTGCACAGTTGTACAAACAATATGAAGCTCTGTGCGCAAGGGAGACCAAACCAGGTATGGGCAAACGTCAGGCTCGCAGGAGCTCCCCCCACCCCATGTGTGCGTGCGTGTGTGTTGAATCAGGGATCTATCAAATGGAACAACAGACCGGTAAAATAGACATATAATTAGAGTTAAAGAATTCTGCAATCAGGAACTTGATTTAACTACTCAGACTAAATGGAGCTCATAGTCCTTTTTTCATAAAAGTCCTCTGGGACTTGCCCCTAGTTTTTTGCCATTTCTGCAGCATAATTAAGGGCAAGAGAGGAGTCATTTTGTTGCTGCTTCTGAAAACACTTGACAAGTGAGAAATTCTTGCCAAATTACTGTAAATTATCCAGCGTTCTGTATGTAGATCCAGGTATAGGACAGGGATGGGCAGAAGATGCGTCACCTTTCCGCAGGGAGAAACAGAAATGAAACAGGAAGGAGAAATCTACACAAAGGAAGAAAAGTTGGTTGGTCTTTGTCCAGAACAACCTGTCCTGCCTTTCCCATTTTGCTGCCAGGACCTCAGGACCAGTTTCTCGATGCTTAAAAGTATAGATTCTACATAAGAGTTATGTGCTGCATCCTGCCTAGGAGAAGTTTAATTGCCAAAGAGTTTCAAATATTGTGTGTTGACTGTCTTCCTAGCTTTGACTTCTACAGATTATCCCTTCCGCAAGCATTGCTTTCCATCAAACATTGTTAGCATTACATGTTCATTGGACCCTCCTACCCCTTTTTTATTCCTTGGGTGGAGAGATTTCACTGCAAGAACCAGGGCAAAATGCTTGTTGACCAGCATGAATGAATGTGACCTGCTGCTGACTGTGAAGCCTGCACCTCTTTGCCCTTTTGGCTTAACGTAATCTTCTTTTGTCATTCCTTTTTATTCTAGCTGTCTCTGTACAGTGTACTTGAGAGCCAAGTCAGTGTTCATCTGTGCCAGAGCCCAGGGAAGTGAATTCTTGAGAAAAGAAAGCAGCAAGCAGAGGCACAGTGGGAACACCTAAAACAAACCTATGTAAGATAGTTTGCATGCTTCCCTGCTTGAACTTCACAGTCTAAATACAGGGGAAGAAATGAGCACCAAAGCCTTTTGACATCTTTCCTGTTCCCTTTGCTGATCAAGACTATCTCAAATAATGCAAAAATGGCCGAAGTGTGGCCAAGACACTTTAAAACTAATACTTTAATAATAAAAAAATCTACAGAGACAGCACCTGATCATAAGTGAAGAAAATCAGCTGCCTTGCACTTACTATGACTAGATAACATTAAAAGCTAGGATAAAACAAAACAAAACAAAACATTAGAATTTAGGCAGCAGGACAAAACCAGCCAGGATTCCAGCTTGTCTGGCCTATAGCTGCAAGACAACCTTACAGAACATCAGTTCTCTGGAGTCATGAAGGACACTCTGGTTATCTAATGGATCACTAGATTTCTGAGGCTGTCATCTTGCAATGAGAAAATTGCAAATTTCTTCAAATGAATTCAGGGTGTACAGATGTAATAAAAATAGGAGTCACAGCACTTAGTTCTTCAGTAGGGTGAGCTAAGCATCTTCATGCCATGACAGTCATACTAATCAGTAAATCAAGCAATTCAACCAATAGTTTTGCCTTTTCATATGCCTTTAATTTTTAAAGTGCTAACTTAAGATTTAAGAAACACATGTTCCACCTGTCAAATGAACCTTAATTCATATTCTTAAAGTTGGGTGGAGGAGGCAACCATTTTTTAAAGTTCTAGAACTGCTTTTGAAGACTGATGGTGAAGTAGCTTTGTGACATTACAGGGAACAAGTCAGTCAGAGCTGCACACAGGCAGCGAGCAAGAAACAGGACAACACATTCCCTGAACCCCACTCCTTAGGAGACGATTGAAAAGAACATGGTTGCTGTGCTTTCACTGTGGACCAACTGCCAAAATTATGCATATCTGGACTTACCCACAATGCTTGCCCATTTAATGAGGTAATTTTGATAGGCTTCAGTCTCGGAGTACATGTGTTGCAATTACTACTGGTGACTCCAGAGAAGGTGTATTGAAAATCCACCAAGATTAGGTGTATCTCCACTGAAAGTGATGTAACTATGCTTGCATTTAAGGAAATTGTGCAGTTTCACCCCCAGCAGAACAAACCGCCAATGAATTCAGGATCTGAAGACCACATAGTATATAAACATCTGTTAAAATGTATTTCATGGCTTTTAGTGATTTTCTGCATTTGAGAAATTGTTCTAAACATTACAAAAGCATCTGTTTCATTGGCAATTCACAGCTCACCTGCCTAGATTCCTCCATATTCACAGGCATGTCTGGACACGTACAATTCCTACAAGATAAAATTAAAAAGTGAACTAAGATTGTAGAAAAGGTCAAAATGTCCTAAGAGGCTCACACTGGAACAAGCAGGGTTCCAATCTCTGAGCTGCAAAAGCTACCTCCTAGGATGCTTATTCAGAACACACAAAGAACTGATCTGACTTACAACTGTTACCAGTGCCAAAAATACACCTCTCACAGCTTGTGGGTTGTTGGGCTAGAAAGGTCACTTAGTATTCCATTTTTACTACAAGCATTTTAACAAGCTGGAAACACATAGACAGAGGTGCCATGCCTTACCATGTAAGCCTAATGGGCCTCAAAACCCACATTTTCCAAAATCACAAGCAACTGAATGATTCGCCCTGTATGATAAATGAAAGGGGGGGGGGGGAATCAGCGTTAATACTCTGCCATCAGCTAACCAGCATATAGGTACCTTACCAATACCTATGAACAGCACAGCTAAGATGTGATCAGGAATGTGTTCTAAAATAATTCTGCACAGAACAGTTTGTACTTGTGTTTTAATCAGCTTCAGTTTACTGTCAAAGATGGCTGTAGTCTGAACTGTACACATGGAAAATAGGTTTCATTATTAAACATTTAATTTATAATTTATGGATGAGGGCTTCAGTAGAAGTAAATGAGGGGACAGCTAGTCTTAAAGATACTGAAGAAACTGGAGACTGGTAGCAGTCTATATGCAAAGGATCCAGTGATGCATTCTTGAGAAAAATAAGAGGTACTGCACCAGCAAGGCTGGGAGAGTGTTTCTGTAGAAAAGGGAGAACTGTCTTTATCATATGTTATTTGAAGTGGTAGTGAGACAGTGAGCATTCTAGAACTGATAATTGCATGGAAAATGGAGAGTTAGATTGTTTTGAGAATAGCTCTTGCTGATGTAGTAGCTAAAACTACAGTTCTAACATTGCATAATAAAGTGGGGTGGGGGAACAAATGGCAGTCTGCCAGAATTTCATGGGAAGAACCAACAAAGTGATAGAGAAGGAAGAGAATGACATGGAAAAAGAAAAGAAACTGAAGCACAAGGATGACAGCTTGTGAAGAATAGGTAAATAGCCCCTAGATATGTTTGAGAAAGAGACCGGCCTCGGAAGGATGGTGTGAAGAAACCAGACTAGTTGTACCAGCCCAAATATTACCTTCAGCAAAAGTACACCCAGCTCTATTTATTGAGATTTTCAGAATGTGCAAGTTCATGCTGTATAGTATTTCCACTGAATCAGAAAAGGGAAGAAACAATAGTATTTGTAACAAACTAAATTCAATGCACCATCAACAATTCTTTAAGGGATGCTTAAATCTGAAATTGGAAGCCACTGTGGGTTTAAAGGTATATTCTTTCATGCTATTCCTAACCCTTGTACCATGATATTCAAGGCCTTTTTCAGCACAAAAATGTTTGTTTGCCCTTTGTCATTGTGTTCCTTCCTAAATGCTCATTTGCTAACTTTATGGAAATCACACACACAGGGAGAGATGAGAGATCCTGACCATGATGCACAGACAGGAACATGCTGCACTGCCTGCATGGAAACAATGTCATAGCCCTGTTTGCACAACTGTGAGCTTACACAGGTACAACTAGAAGTGCAAAGCCTGGTCTGCTTGACTGAAGACCTGCTTTTTGCTAAAGCTCCAATTGCACTGTGTGTCTGCAATTTGTTCATACACAGCACCTGTTCCACTGAATGCATGGAGGGTGGGACAGGGCAGGGTCTGCTGGAGTGATCCTGTCTGTGGCCCCTTCCCCTGCTTCAGTAAAAACCTACTTGGCACATCAAGACTCGCACTTTACCGTTCAGATTTGTCAGAACATTGCATACAACTTTATTCTTAGGAGCTAAGTAGTGTCTTTTAGGGAGGGCAGGAAATGTAGTACCTCCCTCTGTCCCCCTCTCCCAAAGACACACAGCATTTCAAGCCACATGCCTCAGGAGCATCTATGTGTCTAGTAATTATGAAGTATAAAAAGTAACAGTCACAAATCTTAATACACTTTCAGGAATGTGACTTTCAGTTTGATACAAGAAGACAACTTTGACTCTTTCTGTGAATCCTTTCCCTGCTCCAAAATCTGACATGGCACTTTTGTGTGTACTCCTTAAACCTGAGTGATACCCCACCAAAATTTAGCATACAATAGTTGGGATAGATTTAATTTTGTCCTGGGCCTATCAGATAATGGCTGCATTCCTCCCACTATAGATGGGACAAAGAACAATGGTACCCTATAGAATGTTTATTAGAGATACATATCCTCCCAGTCATTTTGTCTCTCAAGGAGACCATTAGCATGATGTAGACAGTTTTGTCTTCAGTCTTTTCCTCCAAAACTGACCCCAGTTCTGTCAGTTTATGAAACCCTAAAAGCCATTTTATGCCATTTAGCTTATCTTGCTAGTCTGACTGTCTCCCAATTTCAGCCACCCCTGAGCACTTTCTTCCAACTCTGTTCTTAGTGCATTTTGCCAAGTGCTGCTGTCAGACATCTTTAATTGATTTAATTGCATGGGCTCCCAAGTATAGACCCATTTAAATAAATAGAGGATACATACTGGTAGTACTCAGTGTCTTTCATTTAAAAGGATAATGTTGGACATTCCAGTTCCAGAATTCCTATGTCATGTATCATCTCAGCTATTCTATATTAATTATTGCATTGTTGCTTTTGTCTGCTTTTCCAGGACACTATGAATTTTAGCTTCTTCCTAGATTTAACCATCATTTCATATATTATACAGAAATCATGTTTGTCATGACTACCTTGGCATTTGCTGCAGAAAATTAGTGAAATCTGAAAGATATATAGATCTCTAAACAGCTCGGGATGCAGGCTGGATGTGTGATTAGCCAAAACGCTGCAGCCAGTGTCCACTGCATGTCTGGAACTGCACCCCACTCCCCTTCAGGCATTAATGTAACAAATGCCACTGTCACAATGGCATAACCTCAGCAAACATGACTGCTGAAATGTTGATGGCCCTTATACTGAACCCTAACATAACAGTGTAGACTCCACAAATCAATATGCTCCCACATGGCCATCACATTTAACCTCGTCCTCCCTTGGGTAAGAAAAGCTTTTTAAAATCAGGACTTGGATTTCATATATAATTATGGTTTTAGCTAGCAAAACTCTCTGAAGTCCCATCTGCATCTGAATGTGAGAGAGTAAGGTATGCTGTTAAATAATTGACTATCCACATAATTCTGGAAAGGTAGGAAGTGTACATTTTCTCAGTGCAATCATAACATTAGAAACTAGATTGCTCTTTGGAGTTCCTAGACCTTTTCTATTTATACATCAATTATTAGCAAATTAATATTGTATTAGAAAGGAAAAAGTAAAAACAGTCTTTGCATTCACCATTTGCTTTTCTGGCAAATAAAGGGATAATAGAGTCCACAAAACATATCCACTCAAAAAGCAGTTATCCAGTAACTGCTTATCGCTGTCAGTCAAGAGGTAATAAAATGCAGCAGCATATAATGGCTGAATATATTTTTAAACTGCATGCAGAAGTTTAACTACTTTTCTGATAGCTTTTAGCTATTACAGGACTAACAAAGAAAAATAATCAGTGTGCTGAACAGAACAGGGAAGGGATGCTGTAAGAGCACCTGCTGTCCATGCAAAAGGATGGTTCAATCCCTACCATCTCCGGAAAGGTGGGGGGGGGGCTCGAGAACACTCCTGCGTTGCCAGTAAGTTTGTAGCTGAGCTAAATGGAGCAGTGGTCTAATTCAGAAGAAGGTAGATTATGTCCCTGGAATCCCTAGCAGACTTTGATTCTGAAAAGCCTTGAATCCCTCTACCAAAAGCTCTTGAGCAGTGCTGGGGAGCTTACAGCCCTCTACATGTTGTTGGACTCCATCCCCTACTGCCAGAATGGCCAAGGATAATGGGCAATGAAATACTACAGCATCTGGAGAGCCATACGTTCCCCATCCTTGTTTTTGAGGAAAAGTCTGCAGGACCACCAATTCCGCCATTGGAGCCTGCTTCAGTTCAAAGCATGATACACTTCTCTGAAGTACTTCCATGAAGAAAAATGCATTGCATCAAGAATTCTACATGTGAAATTCGCATTTCCTTGTTTCACAAACGTCCGGCATATACATTCTAGGAAAGCACAGGCAATCACCAACACATGACCTATCTAAATATAGTTTGCGCAATTTATTTTCCTAAAAGGCTGTCTAGTCCAGAAATTTAGCATATTAGAAATAGTTGTAACTAACACCATATGGACTTATCATTTACATCATTTCTACTCACAGCAGATTTTTTTGTCTGCCCAAAACATTCATAGGACAAATACATTGTGTGGATCTGCGCTTTTTTAGTGTCAAAAATCAGCCATCTGACCTTAAAATCTGCCCAGTTTGATGGTTCAAAACATTAGTTCTGAGTTTGTGCAAGTGCTCTCGGCATTAGCCTCTTTGCCAGGCACAGAAAGAAGAATTTCTTAGAATGTCCTAAGAATTCTATGCATGCTTCAACAGGAAAAAAAATCCTTCAACTCCCAACATTTTTCAGCCAGCCATACCATCTTGGAAATAGTGGGAACTGTAGGATTTTTTCCAGCCTAATCACACATAGGATTGTTCCCTTACCTTGATTTGTTTTAATTAATTCTAAGAAGGAACAAGGTCCATTGGGAATTGAAAAGGCAAAATAGATATTCTCTCTCTTTAAGATCATGAATCAAGTTAAGGAAAGAATTCATTTTAGAATTCTGAAGGACAGCCTAAGTAATTTACTGAATAATCACTGTCCAAGCAGAAAACAAAAGTTCAGGGCTGCTTCATATATGCATGGAGATATGCTGACATGTAAGAATACATCCATTTGCTAGTGTTAATAGGATAGTTTTGAAGCAGGGGCCTATGCTCAGAATATGTTCCGCATGTCAGGGCTTGGCTCTGGAATGGCAAAAGATGCTTTTGACCATATGCAGAATGTATCTTACAACTAAGTAACCACCACAGCCTAGCCAAAGTCACTGAAAATTAGGGAACAGTCTCCTCAAGTTAAGCCTGAGACCTTTCTTATTATAAAATAGCCATGTGGTAAAGCAGGACATGCAGTCAGTATGCAAGTACAAGAAACAGGGCCTTTCCTGTGATGGCCCTCTACTTATGGAAAGTCCTGCCATGGTATGTGTGTGTTTCTCCCTCCCTGACTGTTAATGAACTGGCCTTAAAGACCTGGATGTTCCAGTCAGCTTTTAAATGAGCGGCTGCCCATTATTTTATCAATTTTGCTGCTATTTTAAATGTTTTATGATGCTAATTAGTCAACTGTTAGTAGTTACATTTTATTGTTTTAAACTGCACTGAGGTGGCTTTGTGTTGAAAAGTAGTGTACAAATATTTTAAATAAAACATTTCCACAAATATCTACTGCAACTTCATTCACTGTAGCATAGTTTGTGAAGATGGACTGATATGTATCATTTAGTTACATCCTAGTTTAGTATGTAACTACTGAGGCAACATATGTTAATGTTGGCTGCTAGTGGGTATGAAGCCAATGTAGGCCATATAGTTATATTATGATGGTTACGTAACTCTTCTAGCCATTATAAGGGAGTATTTTTCTATTCCGTTCTAGAAAGATACAATAATGTAGAGTCAAGGACTGATCTTTAAATTACATGAGCCAATTGAGAGTGTAACTTCTGAGATAACTGTTATTGGTGTTATGTGCCATCAAGTCATCTCCAACTTATTTATTAGATTTTTATCCCGCCCCATCAGCCAAAAGGCCCCCTGGGCAGGTTGCTTATGGCACCCCTATGAATGAAAGTCCTCCAAAAGCTATCCATGACAGCCCTGCTCAGCTGCTGCAAACTCAAAGCCGTGCCTTCCTGTAAGGAGTTGATCCATCTCTTATTTGGTCTTCCTTTCCTTCTTCTGCCTTTGACTTTCCCTAGCATGATTGTCTTCTCCAGGGAGACTTGCCTTCTCATGATGTGTCTGAGATAATTGACAAAGTATATACAGGAAACTTGATTAAAATCCCTGATCAGACCCTTCACCTTCCTTTTTGAAATCTATTACCTGAGGAAAGTGTCTTTTTGGCTTAAAACACTTGAAAGTGTAAGCCTTTCTCATTGAAACCAATGGTGACTTCCATCTGCTGTCACTGTTGCTGAATATTTACTGTTGCCCCCGAGATGTGTTAGACTACAACCCCCTTCTCCTTCAGCCATGAAAGAGTTGTTATTCAACACATCTGGAGAACACCAGGTTGAAGACACTTGACTTATTGTTTGGACCCATTTATTCTAATGAGCTACTGTTTCAACACAGGGATTGCTGGGTCTCTGAAGTGGTTTACCTGGCAGTTAGCCAGTCTCTTGCTGGTTCTCAGCAATTATCTTACCATAGGGATTATGTTCTTACATCTGTGGTTCACAGATGACTTAAAAAGCAGTAGAGACATACTGTATGGCCAGTGATCACTTCTACCCTTTTAAGCTGCATCACCAAGGCATTTACTGGAATCTGATGAAACTTGAGTGAGTCAATCAGACCAGATTTGGTTCAATATCCATCATATTATAACACAGACATAAGAGATTAGAAGGTGGGATGGGGTGAGGAACAGTCTTGATTAGTTGGGCACCTTAAGCCCAAGCTCTGCATCTCCTTTCATCCCTGCGGCTCTGAAATCAAGAGTGGGGAACATGTGCTCCCCCAGAGACAGATACACTGCAACTCTCATTAGCCCCAGCTAGCATAGCCACTGGTGATGACGGACAGAGTTGCTATCCAGCAATTTCCCTGAGCTAGGATTATCTGTGTACAATGGATTCCTACTTTTTGAAAGAGGAAAGGAAATGTGAACTGCCCTCTTGAATGAAAGCCCATATTTGTGTCACTGAAGAAAGATGGAGGGCCTATCCGGTGTTTTTCTTGGCTATGTGAGCTATACACGGTGTTGTTAATGGCTAGGCTGCCCTCCCAGGATTATACTCTTTGAACATTTAGTTAATTAGATTATTTGCAAGCTGGTCCCCTTCTTCATACATAAGCATTCACAGCAACAAGGGAGAGAAGAACATAGGGAGGAACTCAAAGACACAATAAGGACACTCCTGTGCCTAAAGAGGAAGGGTAGCAACTTCCATCTGACCATTCCAGAATTCCATCAGTCTTCCTAAAGGGAAGAGTTGTAGATGGAATCATTATCCTGGGAAGCTACAGCCAACTCCAAAAGCAGGTGATGTGTATCCCAGGTGATCATGCACTCACACCCAACCTCTTACTCATTCAGACAACAGGAGCCAAATATGCCCTTGACAGCCAGTGTGATGTAGTGGTTAAGAGTGGGGGACTGGGACTCAGGAGATCTGGGTTCTAGTCTCTGCTCAGCCACAGAGTCAACTGGGTGACTTTGGGCCAGTCACAGACTCTCAGCCCAACCTACCTCACAGGGTAGTTGTTGTGGAGATGAGATTGAGAGCAGGAGGAAGCTGCCTTGCGTTCTTTAAAAGAAAAAAAAAAGATGGGATATAAATCTAATAAATAAATAAACATTTCTGAGCCACTTGAGATTCTCTCTCTCAAAAGGAGAGTATTGAATTAACTGAATGAATGCATCTGAAAAAGAGAATTGACGCAGACAGATACAGAGTGAGTCAGAAAGGGTTTCCTGGGCCATCTAGCCTGACCCCTGGCTCCAGCTGGCTCCACTCATGACATGCCTACCATGTCCAGGGAGCTTTATGTACAGAAGCTCCCTGGACACACTGAAAGTCCAGGGACAGAACTGATTTTCGAGCATTCTCCACAAAGGAACAAACTTCTGGAATCCAAGCAAAACAGTTCACCAGATCCAACCATCTTCTTGCACCATTTCCACACCCTGAATGAAGTCAACCCAGGCCACACCTGCACTGACTGGAGAAAGGAACTGGCTAGGAGGAGAGGCCACAGTTGTTCCAGTGCTTTTTTAACCAGCCAACAAGCACCAGCCAGTTTAGAGTAGGGATCAGTCAAATTTGCATTTCCTGTTTGTTCACAGCAAAGCCCTTTTGGATAGGTTGCCTTACCAACTTGAATTTTCATAGACTTTCAATCACTATTTCCTACCTCCTTGCTCAGCCAGTGACTAAGCAGATGGGCCCATGAAAAGGTAGCTGCAGTTGTTCTTTTGTTGACATATCACCAATGTGCAAATGCCTGTAGATATGGCAGAAGCGAAGAGAGCAGATGGGCCAGTGATGAATGCAGCATCTGCTCCCCTGCTTCAGAGGCCTGAGACATCTCCCATAGTTGTCTTTCTGTGAACAGCAAGCCTTCTGCACCATCTGCTATTCCGCCCTTCTCTTATTTGAAACACATACATGCAGATGTAAGATCTTAAACATTGGAAGCTTCAGCTATTCATAACCACCAGTATCTGTGGATTAACAAGTGCTCTTTAATACATACCAAGTCTCGGCCCCAGAAACCCAAGATGTAACTCGGGAGCATGTGGAGTGATCAACAGTGCTCTTGAGCGTATGCAGCATTAATACTGTATAAGAGAGTCATCACAAGCAGTGCTCAGATCAGGAGGAGTGGGGCCCAGCACCTGTTTTTAGAGCTCGAGCAGCACACCTGACCCGGTTCTCAGGTACGCAGTAAGGAATTCTCTCTCCACACTTTCTGCTCAGGACAGGTGTCATCACACGACTGTTTATGGCAGTTTAGGACAGGAGTGACTAAAGCCACAGGATACGCTGTCTGCTGTGCAGGGTACTTGATGACAGATATCTGGACCAGCTGGCCCATGGGACTGACAAGCATTCCCTCAAGGACCTTAGTCAACCCTGGTCTTAAATTTCCATCCTGGTGCTGTTGCAAAGGCAGCAGTACTATGAAGTGTCCTTAAGGGGAAGAGCAGTCTTGAAAGAAATGGAGACGTCTTTACTCACTCTGAAATTAAAGGGTAGCCAACAGAGTGGCCCATTCAAAACTGAGTATCACCTGCTAATGATCACAAATGAATCCAGTTCCTGTACATGCCATTTCAGTCCAGTCAACAGCTTCTCTTTTCTCTCGGGCTTTTATTCCTTTCACAGTACAATATTTTTGCAGCTTAATCTTAATCTTGCAGTTTTCTTGCTGATGCATGTCTCCAGGCTGAATTTCCCTTCACTCTATTGACTGTGCATGGCCATCAAGAGGGCAAACAATTCATACCACTAAAATATATAGATAAACATTCCTGGCCACAGAGGAAAAAAAGGGGAAGGTATCATGCTTAGTTTACACTGCAGTTTTCATCCTACCGTTGCTGCTGGTAATCGCCCAAGTCTTGTTAAAGGGAATTGGTAAGATTTGGGTATAACCTAGCATTCTTGACATTTCAGAGGCAGAATTCAAAATTTACATATGCTTCAGAATGCCTCAACTCAGAGATAGATATTTTTAGTCTGATGGGAGCACCTAAAAAGTATACTGTTGAATTGGTGCAGAATAGGGGGCTAGAGAGCTCCTTATGAGACCAGGTTGCAATGTCTGGGGCTGGTTAGCTTAGAAATAAGGAGAATGGGGGAGATGTGATCATAGAATAATAGAGCTGGAAGGGGCCAGAAGGCCATCAGGTCCAACCCCCAACAGTGGTGTACAAAATGATATAATATGTGGAGAAAATGGATAGGCAGACCTTCTTCTCCCTCATTCCCAATACTGGAACCCAGAAGTCATCCCATGAAGCTGATTCGTGTGAGGATAGATAAAGGGACAGATAAAAGGAAGAAATTCTTCATATGATGCATAGTTCAGCTATGAAATTCAGCTGCACAAGTTTGGCCACCAATGTGGACAGTTATAGAAGTGAATTAGACCAATTCCTGGAGCAGAAGCTATCAATGGCTATGACACCTGATGGCTCTATGCTACATTCGGTATCAGAGGCAGTATATCTATGTATACCAATTGCTGGAGAACATGGCTACGTGTTAGGAAGGTGTTGTTCCATTCACGTCCTACTTGTGGGATCTTGTTGGTAGCTGGTTGGTCACTATGTGAATGGAAGAGTGGACTAGATGAGATGATCCAGCAAGGGTCATCTCATGGCCTCTCACAGTCCCTGCTCTCTCCCTGTTTTTATGGGACTGTTCTGTATACCAGCCTTCACTCATCAATTCCTCTTCTTGACAATAGGAACACAAAACCTACCTCCCTGCAGGGTTACATTTTTCCACTTAATCAGAGCAGGGGCATCTCCTGCCCATTGAAATGATTGCATTCAGCAGTGCCATTTTGTGACAGTGAACATGCCTATGTAGCTAGAAGAAAAAGATCCACCAGGTGCAAATAATAATAAAAGATAAAATAATCATAAAAGAGCAGAGTGAAGATAAGAAACTGCCTTAACTATCAGGCCAATGGTCCACATAACTTAGTGCTCCAAAGAAGGTCAGGCAACAATTCTTCACTGTCTCATAGAGGAGTATTTGCCCTGACATCTAAAGTTCTTTTAAATGGAAAGACCAAAGACTGAAATGAGACCATTTGGATGCAAAGTATGTGCTTTTTGAATGCGCAACAGACCAAGGTATCAATAGTACCAACATAAAAGCTAAGACCCCTAATACTGAACCATTATTCTACAAAACTGAACTCTCCCGAGAGAAGTCCTTCATTCTCTCTTCTAGGTTATTGCTGAGAAGCTCAACCATTATGACTTTTACACATTCATTCTGAACACCAGTCCAGGACCTTGTTTAAAATCTACATTGTTTCAGGAGGGGCCTGGAGGTAGCTGTGAACAAAACACTCCTGATCAGATGTAAGTTACTAGCACCTGATGAACTTGAATGCATCTTCTGTTCTAACCGAATTAAAAGGAGTTGCTCTCCTGTGAGCACACAAAGCAAGGGAACTCCGAACATATGCAGATGCCTAACCTAACCACCAAGCCACTGCCGTGATGTCCCTACTCTAAGTGTAACTTGAACTGGCCAGCCTAAAACCCTAGCAGGAAATATCCTTCAATTCTGAAACATTCGCACATTCACCCAGTCAATAGACTTCCCTCAGAAGCATGGCTTTGTAAAGCCTCATTAGAAAGTACAAATTCATAAGAGTACCAGTAATCTTGGGAGTTTCCATTCACCCCGGTACAAAGCTATTGAACCTTTGGCTTAAGCAACTTGAGCACACCCAAAGTCATTGTTTCCTTTGTGTTCCTATTTTCTAACCTGTAATTGCTCTTGATCTCAGCTTCTTAGCATTTACAGGACCTTGATGTGAACAGTCTATGAACCTGTGATTCTCTTTAAGTCTGTGTAGCAGATCATCCGTTCCTAGCCCTATTTTTCTCTGATCTTGATCTGTTTCTGGGCCTTTCTCTCTCTCTATTGGCCGACTACTTTCCTCTTTCTTGAACTAAGTAGAAATGCAGAGTTCTTATCTGTCAAATCAAGATACTAGAACTCAGGGGAAAATAATGCTCTTATACTACTATGTGTTACTAACTGCACAACCTCTTGCCCCACAAATCAGAAAGGTGTGATGGAACATCCTTGTAAGAGACAGGTGGAGCTGTTTGCCACATCAGGATGAAGTCAGCCTATATGTGCAGTGAAGTGTTGGAGAAACAGTGCAAGCAGCCTTCAGAAGAGCTTCGTATTTATTTATGAAAAGGTCCAGGATGTTGTGGGGCATTAGGACAGGAGAGCCTCTAAATGTAGCAACATGCGACACATGCTGGCTTCAGTCACTGGCAGGATGTCATGCCCCATAACAGAACTGTTGCCTGGAGGAATGGGGACAAAGTGCTTTGCAACAAATGAGTAACAAGCGTGAAAATAAGGGAAAGGTTGTAGGCCACTAGCAGCGACTTATATGACAGCACACAAACATGATTCACATGTATCAGTCCAAGATCTCTACAGTTAGAAGAGATGGGTAATGACCTCTAGTATGAAACTGTCCTTATCCGTGTTATTTTGGGGGCATTTGGGAGGTGAGCATCTGCTATAAAGAGGTCGAATTCCATCTTGCTCTGGGTGTGTCTGCTCCAGAGTTAGTGATGTGAGGTGTATGGAAGTAGGCCCATTTCACTGGTGCGGCTGATACATGCATTTTGTTAACTCACAGAAGAGCACAGCAATCCTTAGAACTAACAAAGCAAACAGCACACAGTTCCTCTAACCACAAAGCCAATTAATCTCTGGCATCCTGGTCCCCTTATCACAGAGGGGCACAAGAATGGCAAAACTGAACTGGAGCAATCCAGCCATCCAGGTGCCAGGTGATCTTGGCCCTGGCAACGGTTCAAATGTGAAGCATCTGGAGAGCAAAGAGCGTTACTTTACCTTGCAAGGGCTCATTTCCTGGAGCAGCTCTTTGTGCCCTACGGGACTTGTGTAAAACTATATCCTACGCACAGGCAGCTCACCCATGGAGGAGGCCCGTCTCTTGCCAAGCAGACAAGTGAACGCTGCACCCAGCTGCTTACAGCTACCCAGAATCTCAGTCTCAAGGGGAAGTTGTGCAAAGGTTGCTTCCTGTTTCAAACCCCTCCTGCAACTGCAGTAATGTTAAAAAGTAACTGTACAGATGGCTGAAATCCCTCCCTCCCTGCCACACACACAGAGAGAGAGAGAGAGAGAGAGAGAGAGAGAGAGAGAGAGAGAGAGAGAGCACATGCTACATTAATTCCATCAGAGAGTGCTGAAGAGTGCTCATATTTCCATGACCGGCATGACTAGTTTGGTTTGTGTCAAGAGAGCTCATGGGTGCACGCTATAGGGCATGTCAGGCTGTGGCCAGCTTGAATTCTTGCAATTATACCCATCTGTGCTTCTTGCATTGAATGCTGCTGTTCTTCCTATCCTGCAAGTAACCCAAGGTGGTGTACAGGGTTCATCTCCTCTCCAGTTTATCCTCACAACAACCCTGTGAGGTGGGTTAGGCTGAGAGAACATGACCGGCCCAAAGCCACCTGGTAAGCTCCATGGCTGAATGGGGACTAGATCTTCTGAGTCCTAGTCCCACACTTTAACTGCTATGGCACATTGGCTTCCAATGTGTCTCAAGTGCTTGGGGTTACCTGCTCCAAGTGCTTGGGGTTTCGGTGGATTAAAAATGTGGTTAAATAAATTGCACATCTGTGGGAGAGCATGGGCTGTATAAACCAGATCATAAATGAACATCAGATAAATGAATGGGGCATAACAGAAAATTACATAACTACTCTGCAAACCACAGTTGGAAGCAGGGTATAAAATGCTTTAAGTAATTAACAAAATATATCAGATGAGTATGAAACAGCTTTCACAAGCATATCTATCGCATACTGGCATAGATGGAGTATTATAGCTCTGTTGGCAAGGATAACATTTCCAAAGGTGGGATGCACCTTTAGGTCTCCTCCTAAATTGGGCATATTTCCTCCAAAATGTGTCTCAGTCCAAGGAAAAAAAAGAAAGATCAGATGCAGTAATATACAAAGCCTTTCCTTCTCTCCTTTGCAATTAAGAAAACATGGAAGTAATTAAGTCTGAAGGCAACTCTTTCAGAAACTGTGGTTTGGTGTGGTTTTAAATTCCTGTTTTTAGCTTGCACTGACGGCCATATCACATGACAATCTCAAAAATAGAGTAAATAAAAATTATTAGAGAAAACAAAAAGAAATCAGATCTTTAATATTTAAATTAGACTTTAAAATGGTATATTGTTTCTTGAAACAAAGAAGGTAGATTTAATTTTAAACTGAGTTAATACAAATCAGCATTAGTCTGCACTTAATCTGTGATAGAAGACATCATGAAAACATAACACATGCTGTGTTGGAACATGGACATTTTAAGCTGTGCTAAATACTTTTCTGGGGGTATAAGGGGATAAGCAATTTTAAAATCCAGTAAAATATACTTAGCATTTATATGGCACTCGAGTGTTCAGAATGTTGCATATCCATTAACACACTAATGCATATAGCAACTCTGTAAAGCAGGCCAACATTATATGAAAAGTGGGCTTCGCAGAATAGGGAGCCTTAGATAATAAGGCAAGATCTGAACTGGTAACTACCTGGATCACAGCCTGTTAGGCTAGACCTTTTATTACACTAGTTCTGTAACCTTTGGCCATTAATACATCCTGTCAAAAGGTTCTGGGCACTTAACTGACAAGGAAATGATCTTTCTTTGCTTCTTGCACTGAGGGCCAAACATAAATCTATTAATTTTGCAATTGCTTCCCTCTTATTCCTAAGCAGATAAATAGAAGTGCCAAAGGTAAGTAGAATGCATGTTTAGAGGTTTTGAACTATGCCCCCCCCGCCCCGGTTTCCATTGCTATAGGAACCAATTAGTATGAATTACAACATGAGAGAATTGATTCCAAGCTGCCTTTTTATTCATCAATTTCTTCTGCTCAAAAAGCTAAAAATAAAAAGGCATAAAAATAAAAATACACCTGGCATGAATTCAAATTTCCTGGAAATCTATATCATAGACATGTTTGTATCTCATATATGCAAGGTTTGAAGCATACTTGATAGCAGTATTAGAACATATCATCGTGTAGTAAGAGTATGACTGCTATACCTCATCATCAACAAATATGAAATCAAGCACAAATACAGCCACCCATGAATTGCAGCAGGAGGCTCCCAGAGTCAAAAACAAGAAAGCCTCAACAGAACATTGCCATAGAAACCATTTTGACACTCCCTCCGATCCTGTTTGGTTGCCAAGAGGAGTGAACCCTTGCCATGAGGTTCTCCCCAGCTGAAACCTACATTTCAAGATCCTGAACTAGAGGCTGACTGCCCTTGTAGCCCAATCATCTGAGGATTCTGTTTGGACACATGTAAAGTTTGGGCACGGTGAGTCTGTGGAGTTTCTAGGAGGGCTTAAGCGAATGGAGCCTGTTCCATCAGTCAGCTTCTGTCAAATGCCTTCCTTATTCATACGGTTCATGTGACAACTGAGGTGTCATGGCCATAGCCTTGGAGTTAAGCCCATCCATGTGAGGAGCTGCTTACATGAGAGAACCCCTTTGTGATCTCCCATGTTATGTGCCATCAGGTCATTTCCAGCTTATGGTGACCCTAGCAAGGAGTGCCCTCCGAAATGTCTTGTCCTTCACAGGCCTGTTCAGCTCTTGGACAGTCAAAGCTGTGATGTCCTTTACAGAATCAATCCTCAGATCAATCAATCAATCCCCTTTAGGGGTCTGTAATCAATGAGTAGACATCAGGGGAAGGAGCAGTGTGTGTGTGGGGGGGGGGGGTCCCTGTTTGGCTTTTTCCCTTTCATGTTTGTTTCCTGTTTTTAGGAGGCTGGTGAGCCAGCAGTACTCAGCCTGGAGCTGTGAACCAACGTTGCTACAGCATTTTCATTTCCCTGAATGCTAGAAAAAGGACAGAAACTCTTGATCCTTCTCACCAAATTGGTGAGCAATCATGCTGCTATTATTATAAATATTTTTAATTCTTTTACAGAGAAGAACTTAGGCTCTTGCAGAGCAATATTATGCAGAACTCCTCAGGAGTGGCCATTACCAAGTAACTGTGCATCCTTCTACTCTTACTCTAAGACTGCATTTATAGCCCATCTTTTCCCTTGTGCAATGAACCCAAGTGGCACTCCTCCAATCCATTTTATCCTCACAGCAACACTGTGGGTTAGCTTAGGTTGAGTGTCAGTTACTACTCAAACTCGCTCAGCGAGCTTCATGGATCCCCAGGCAATATTCTAACCGCCAAACCACACCGGCTCTCAACTTCAGTATCGTTTAGACTTTATACAGTGCAGCCTGAACCTCTTACTAGGAGCCAGTGAATTCAGTACAGTTCACAGATGCATACTGGGGAATAATAATGGTGGATAGTGACAAGAAACAGGGCCTTCTCAGTTGTGGTTCCTCATCTTTGGATCCCCTTTGCAAGACATTCACAGTTGTCAATAGAATCTTTCTATTCCGTCTGATGCCAGATGAGAACTGTTTCATTTGTCCAGGCCTTTAAGTTGGCATTTTTAAAACACACCGAATTATTCTGGAGTTTTAACTGCTGTGGTGTTTGGTTGTTCTTTTATGATCTTTTATGACCTGTATCTTATAGCTTATACTTGGGCCGCTCTGAGAGACAAATGCATAAATACATACATGCATGCATGCATGGCCTTCAGTCCCCCCTTCTTTTATAACACTTAAATCCAGACCTCATGAATCTCACCCTTTGATCACTTTATGGAATATCCATTTGTCCATCATACATCACAACAGAAGTGAGACATACATTTCTATTTCTCCTTCCTCACCCCATGCCCCTATATTCCCTCAACCCCCTTTTCTAGAAGACAGAAGAAGGGACTTCCAAAGGTATCAGCTTTGGAAAGGAGACAGAACCCACCTTTAGATGGAATGAGCAATGGCCCATTGTTCAGAAATCTGACTCACACTGGGATTAAACACCTTTAAATAACAAGGCAGTGAACTCACCTCTGCAGCTTGGCAAGCCAGGATGAAACCTGTTGGATCAATGGCTGTTCAAAAAGGCAATTGTCAAAGAGGCTCTTGAATCTAAGGGCAAAAGTCTTTTATCATCCCATCAGTGAAAGCAGGGAAGATAAAGGGCTGTACTGCAAATCAATACAAGAGAGTGAGCAAACGAAGAGGAGGATGTTCTGCAGGTGCTAGATAGCCTGCAAGAGCAAAGTTCTGTTGACTTGCTACTCAGACTTTCTCCTCCCATTCGGACAGGCCTGCCAATGCACCTCACTCTTGACCTAGAGAGACCTCTGCACAGACAGGGAGAGAAATTCCCTCTCTGAAACCCTAAGCTGCCAGCGATGATATGGCCAACTGCCCGGCTAGTAAGTGACTCCTCACAATTAATTCACTTCACTGAGCAGCTCTTTAAGCAGCTTTGCTTCTCAGGATGGTGGTTCAGGTTGAGTCAAAGCATTACCTCTTTTTAGCAAGGTTTTGGCAAAGTCAGCCCCTGCCATGCTTTTGAGGGTTCCCCCCCCCAAAAAAAAGCAGTTTGGCACATGTTTAATGCTGGTTCTAATGAAGTGCTGGGGCACTGCCTTCCTCAGCCCACCAGTTTTCCTGGGGAAGCTCGCCAAACCACCTTGTTGCATCACTCACCATGAGAAGGAGGAAGTTCTAGGGGCTGCCCTCACTACAGAACTTCCCCGGACCACCGCGGTTTCACTGAAGTGTTAAGGAGGGGTCCAGCCTGCAGCTCAGCAAGCCAGCACCACAGCAATGTCATCTTCTGA